AATAGTTGTTTTTTTCATATAAAATAATAATAAATGTAAAAATAGGGATATATTTTTTCGGCATAGAAGAATCATAGGGGGAGGGGGCGGGGCGAGAGCATGAAAATTTCGACTTTACTTTTTTCCCCCCCACATGCATTATTGGACCACCCTAGTGCACATACATATACGCTCGATGAGCGCAAGGTGTCAAAAAGCCAACGCCCCTTAAGAAAGCGCAGAGTAGTAACCAACAAATTTTCGACATTTTCGTGGCAACAGTCGCTCGTGTTGATTTTCGATAAATTAGTTAGTACGCCCAAAAGTCTGTGGGGTCACATGTTCAAACATTCAAAGTGTATTAGAATTCAAATCAAATAACTAACACTTCTCATACTCAAGAAATAATATTAAAAAAAAGGTTTTCCATGGTGCAGGTAAAGTTTCTGAAGTCGTTTGTGCCAAACAGCAGCCCCTTAAAGCACTCAGGCGTATAAGAATTGCATGGTTTTCTTCCTTTTTCCCCACCCCGCATAGCCTTTGCAGTGTCGTCATAAGCGTGCCATATTGTCAGCTAAACGTAATTTTTCATACCTGCCTGCACAAAGCCGCCATTTCAGCGGTACTAACGGCCCATCAACAAACCACTTTCAATACACAGCAACAGCAACAACAAGTGCCACACAATTACCATGGCCATTATTGCCATTGCAGCCGTTGCAACTCGAATTGTGTGAACTGCAAAAGTTTGGCATGAAGGCGGCGATAAGAAAACGAACGAGTGGGAAATGCAACAACCCTTGAAATTTGCAATTCGTGTTGATTTTCTTAATGCTGTAATATAAACTTTTTGCTGAGTTTTGAAAAAGTTTTCTTCTTCTTCTCCCACTATATTTTACTAGAACTAGTGGCTTTGTCACAGTAACACCGCACTATGCGTTTGTTTGCAAATGTATGCAGCAACAAAAAGCGACTGTGAATGAGCGCTTTCAATAAAGTGTGAATTGTTGCTAGTGACGGCGTCAACATGTTACACATTTACGCCTGACACTTTTGCCAATTCATACAGCCACTTACATACATAGTATATATGTATACACTCCACTTTCCGCCTACACACTATCCACTACTCATTACCCACCTACTGAAGATTGAGCATCTCTCTGCTCAGCAGTGTGTAGCAGCACTTTGTTGGTCGTTTAATTTGAATTGCGCAGATTTTCCAACTACACATTTTTTTTTTGTAATTCATTTGCAATACTTAGCTACGAATATAAGGGCTATTCGCGATCCGGTGCAAATGGCCTAGCATCATTGCAT